CCCCCCCCCCCAAAAAAACCTTATTAAAATGGAGCCAAAAAAGGCCTAAATTAGCATCCTGTCCAATTTGTAACTCCTAGTGGCTATTACATTATGCATTATGCATATAGCACTCCTCGTTGTTATTTCAAGGAGATTTTTTATGGAAATTTGATAAAAAAAAATTTTAGAATATATAATTAAAAGTGGGGATTGGACGGGGGTGGGGTTTGGAGAAGGAAGAGATTTTTTTTTTCCTAATTTTCTTTTGCATTTTTTTTTTTAATTTGTGTTTATTATTATATTTTTATTTGGATTGGGTGGGATTTGGAGTAGGGATGTCAACGAGTCGAATCAAGTCGGCTCGCGAGTCGAAATTCAAGACTTGAGTTCAACTCAAGTAAAATCAAACTGGCTTTTTTCGAGTTCGAGGCGAGCCTGAGCTCGAGATCGGGCGAGCTCAATTTTTTTTTCCTCTCTTTTTTTATTTAATTATATTGACACTGCTGCTGCCTTATTTCTGCCTTTCTTAAGGCAGCAGCCAGCCGCCTTAAAATAAGACAGCTGGCTGCTACCTTAATTAACGCAGCGCTTGCCCTTTCTTTTTTATTATTATTATTATTATTATTTTTTTTTTTGGTAAATAGGGCCAACCTCAAAATGGGGCTTGACCGGTCAAGCCTTGGCTTGGGCTTTTTCCAGGCCAAGCCGACACGCCCAATTGACATCTCTAGTTTGGAGATGAAAGAGATTTTTTTTTTCTAATTTTCTTTTGCATTTTTCTATTTTATTTTTAAATTTGTCTTTATTATTATGAGCATGTTCGATAATAATTTTGATTTTTTGACCGTTAGAAAAAAAAATATGGGCCACCTGGAATAGTAAAATAATGATTAAAAAATCAATTTTTTTAAATGAAAAATCACTCCTAAACGGGATCTATATTTTCATGTCATGTGCAAAGAATGCATCTATTTGACAGAAGAAATTGACAAACCAAATAAAAAGGATCATTTGATAAAAAGTGATTGAACTAAGGATTCAAATGTTAAAAATGAAATAGTATGAATGATTTGCACAATAAAAGCAAACAATAAAGGCTTTTGCCCGAATTACCCAATAAATTAAGGACAATTTT